TTCCAGCAGCGCCTGCATACGGAGTATATATCTCCCAATTGATACGATATTCCCGGGCTTGTATTTCCTATCATGATTTCCTTGATAGAGGATTGCTGCTCACAAGGAAGCTATTAAACCAAGAGTTCCAAATGATGAAGTTGAAATCATCCCTTCGTAAATTTTACGGACGCCATCACGAGTTGGTTGACCGTTATGGAATAACCGTTTCACAGATGATATCGGATATGTTCCTTATGTCGTAACTACAATACCCTCCCCTTTTCACGAATGTGACCTACCGAATTAGACTATTTACCGGATTTGTAATAACATAAGCAACACGACGGGTGCCACATGTGGAGCAGGATCTGCTTACCCTTCCGGAGCACCTGAGATCACCCCCAGTTTGTGTTGCTTAGTCTTTAGTTTTCTATGTTGTGTCATCTGTACTATTATTTGTCTGTTTGTCTTTTTATTTTTGGCCATGGCGTTGTCAGTTTGTTTTCGATCTGTGAGTTTGACTGTCCCTCTGGTATCTTTCGTCCCTCTTTTACAAATTGTGACTTGGATGGAGACTTGTCTCATTGGCACTCATACCACATCTTCTTATATCTATAGCTATCATGATAACGCTACCTCATGGAGAGATATTTAAATAGATTTGACAATTGTCATGCCTAGGTAAGATTTTTACATCTATTCTTAATGATAGATTGGGGGAATTTATTGATGAACTAAATATCTTGAACGAAAATCAAGCAGGCTTCCGACAGGGCTACTCTACCAACGATCATATTTTTTCATTGTATGCACTATTCGAGTTGCTATGTGTCAAACGGAAAAAATTACATTGTGTATTCGTTGACATTGAAAAAGCCTTCGACTTTGTTCAAAGAAACTCACTTCTGTATAAGCTTGTTTTAAATAAGATAACTGGTAAATTTCTTAGAATTGTAGAAAATTTGTATAAAGATGTTAAATCACGAGTTGTACATAATAATGAAGCATCTGACATGTTTGCTAGTGATATTGGAGTCCGCCAAGGAGAAAATCTTTCTCCTTTATTATTTTCTTTATACTTAAATGATCTTCAAGAATTTTTAGAAAATAGTGATATAAAAGGTATACATTCAATTACATCTGACATAGAAAATGAACTGGATATTTATTTTACTGAGATATATGTCTTATTGTATGCTGACGATTCGATTTTACTTGCTGAATCAAGCACAGATTTGCAGTTACTTTTAAATAGTTTTTCTCAATATTGTAAAAAGTGGAAACTTAAATTAATGTTAACAAGACAAAGGTAATGATATTTTCAAAAGGTACACCACAAAATAATTTGAAGTTTTACATTCATAATGAAGAGATAGAAATTGTTAAGAACAATAAATACCTTGGTATTATATTCTCTAGAAATGCATCTTTTTTTGCAACTAGAAAATATCTTAGAAATCAAGCTATTAGGGCTATGTATTGTGTTATTAAGAAGTGTAGATCTAACCATCTATCTATAAAATGCCAGCTCGATATGTTTGATAAACAACAAATGGAAGTTTTTAACGACCTTGACTGGATATACATCCCTAGAACGGTCGGCTCGGTGCCCGAAGGCGTTTGGTGAGCGTTTAAATAATTTTGTGCCATCGGTCAGGAACAGGTGGAGGCCGCCATTTTGGTAGGCCGCCATCTTGGTTTTGTGAGTTGTTTTGGTTTTTCTTTTGTTGACTATTTTGATGTTATGTCTTCACAACGGCTGCTTTCAGGGCCAGATTGGTCAGCTTGGCAGCCCGCTAACCTCGATGATGGAGTACTGGTAGATGAGTCTCGGACGTAGTATTAACGATGACAGGAAGCATTATCAGGACCAAAGTCGTGAGACAGTGAAATGGCGGTCCATCATCTAACACCTAGGATACAGCCCTCGGACGTCACTCGGCATACCACTCCCCCATCCATAATGGGTTTTGGAGTGTATGTTGACGCGGGAATTTGCCCCTACGCGGATTATAGCCTAACGTAGTCTGTACAGCGTTTGATTGGTTTCTGTCATCGAAAGTAGTAAGTCGTTGATCCATCTAACTGTAAACCCTCATCGAAGATAGCGGGTAAAGGAGAGCTGACCCAGCACGTCCGTTCAGTTGTAATGACTGAGACATGACTGAATGTTTTTGATAAAGCTGTTTTACCTATACTTTTATATGGGGCCGAAATCTGGGGATATGAAAACCTTGACATTTTGGAAAAGGTACATTTGAGTTTTTGTAAACATGTTTTGCGGTTAAAAAGATCGACTCCTAATTTTATGGTTTACGGGGAATTGGGAAGATATCCGATTTCTGTATTCGTTAAATTACGGATGATAAAATTTTGGTGCAACCTTCTTGATAACACACTTGATAACAAGGTTTCGTCAATGTTATATAAGTTGATATATATTAATTATAATAATTATGAATTTTCAAATTGAAAACAAATGGTTGTTATTTATCAAAAGTATTTTTTGATAATTGTGGAATGTCAAATATATGGCAAAATCAAGATTATATCTCAAAACAATGGATTGTATTAAGCATTGAACAAAAGTTGAAAGATCAGCTGTTTAGACAAGAATGGCTTACAAATGTAAATCAATCATCAAAAGGTTTATGTTATAAATTATTCAAAATAGAACTTAAATTTGAAAAGTATATTTCAGTTTTATCGTTAAATAATGCACTGAAATTATGTAAAGTTAGATGTAGCAATCACCGTTTACCAGTGGAGACAGGGAGGTGAAAAAATGTTCAAAGACCTGAGAGATTATGTCACCTTTGTGAATCTGCTGACATCGGCGATGAATTCCATTATGTAATGTACTGTCCTTTTTTCAAAAAAGAACGATATAAATATTTACCACACTATTGTTGTACAAATGTTAATATTCTTAAATTTAATAATGTATTCACTACAGTCAATATTGTCTTATTAGAAAAGTTGTGTAGATTTATAAATTATATATCAGTGAAAGTCTGTCCTCTTGGTTAAAGTACAATTATTTATGTATATTTCACACATGCAAAATATGTTGTATTGTATATATTTTCATCTCTGTAACTATGTTATTTAGTTAATGAGAATAAAGATCTATATATCTAACAAATACCCGATGCATTTATAACTGTGGTTTTAATCAACGTGTATATTATAAATAATCAAGAAGAGTATAATTTCGATACTCATGATTTAATCAGTAACCTTATAGGTGTAATACCACCATTGATTTTCCCCTATTAGTCTTTGTTAAATTTGCACTTTTCAAAAAATTGTGCAGAATTTATCTTTGTTTCAAATAAAGAAATACTTGGCATGAGTAAAGTTTTATCCTGTCCATTACTATAGAAAAAATTTCACATAACATTTCATTGCATATAAGAAAATAACCATCACTGGAAGTTAACCAATCAAATTTTCCCCCTTTTTTAACCTGTGTACAAGCTTTAGTAACCATGTAACCTCAAGTTTCCAAAATATTCTATAGAAACCCCAAATAAAGAAATAATGGTGCTTTGAAATACCCAAGATATATGTTTATGACTCAGAAATGTTTTACTGCAATGAAATGTAGGATCAATTACCTACAACTGTCAAATTCAAGGGAATATTTTTTTTCGACCTATTTTCGTATGCAACCGGATGTGACGTACTATGATTTGGTGGTATTACACCTAAAAGATATTTCATCTTAATTTTTCGACCGTACCATACATGATTTAATACGTCTATCAGGGTGGATCCAGGATTTCTTTTTTTTTAAAGGGAGTGAAATTCCATAAAACAGTAGTAATACCGGCGAGCGTAGCGAGTTGAAAAACTGGAATTTGACGTATGACAATTTTATGGCCCAGTAATGGAAGGTCTGTTTTCACTCATTTCATTAAGTGAGTGTCCCCTAACCCCACCAAGCCAGGGGTACAAGTTAAATCGGCACCTGGTTGATTGCGGCACATATACAAAAAGTCAAATCGGCATCTGATATAATAGGCACATATATAAAGTCATTTCGGCATTTAGTTTGTCAGTTAGGCACCAAATAATATTTTTCAACTTTTTTCTGCTATTTAAATCTTTAAACAAAAATGGGTGTTGGAATTTATTTTGTTCAGTTCATTGTTGAAAATAATCTTATGTTATTAAGCAGTTAGAATACACGAGTAAATTGTTTGAAGTTTTTTTTAAAACTTCTATGACTGATGTTTTGATTTGATTTGATTTGTTTTCTTTTCAATTAATTAATTAATAACTTATATCAATTAAATAATTAACATGTTTGTTGTTTTAACTCTATACAGGTAGTCATTGGTGTTTTTTCTTTAAATACTTAAATAAAAAAACAACAAAGCTATTACCCAAGCTGTTGTTTAATGACGGTTAAATCATGAAAAAAATAGAAGCAATAAAAGGGCAAACTATGAGTCCCTGTTATCAATATCAACTGGTTAAAACATGCATAATAAATATCCAGTACGTTGAATACACATAAAGTTTCCCGAAGAAAATACACAAAGAAACTAAAAGAACTTGATAATAAACAATAATTCTAGCCACCCGGCCCTTCTTTATTTTAGTCTTTTTGCTTATATAAAATACTGAAAACAACATGTATTCAACATATATTTGAGAGAATAGAGAGATAAATTGCATAAAAAAATTAAAAATACATAATCCAAGGATTTATATTACTATATAAATCCTTGCATAAACGAAAATTTGAAAACTAACTGATGTCGTAATCTACCGTTTCGCTAATCTCCACGGAAATTTTACGCGTTATCTCCTGTTTAGAGTCAACCTTTAGTTTTTAGCAAACTATCGTTTTATCTCGCTCAAATCTCGTCAACACAAATTATCCAAAATCGCCATGATGGCGCCAATTTTTGCTGAAATTGTGAAATTCAACAAAAAAATGCTATTTTACAGATAAATTTGGGAATCAGGTATACCTGTGACAACTTAAAAAGTTATTTTATTCATCCTATATTCTTAAATGTTTGTAAAAACAGCACAGTTCTTCGTGTTCTGCGTCTCAAAAATGGCTCATTCAAATAATTCATAAACCGATGTTTATGTCGTCTCAGAATGCACCCGCGGGTGTTAACGTGACCGTTTGGTTATTTTTGAAGACTGTCCTAGTGGTTAGAGAGTGGTCAAAACCAAGAGGCAAATTTTCTTTACAATATGAAGTTCCCAACATCTTAACAGGTTCTGTTTAGCTGCAGTTCAGATATTATTCCAAATTAGCTCTAAATTGTAGCTCTTGATACATTTTTTTTGAATTTGTGAACTATAGAGCTAGGAATTACTTATTTGAGTGAACATTCAGAATTGATACCCAGGTAAAATGGCACTAATTTGCATTAATTTTATTGTCGACCACTCTTGCATAGAATATCAATGTATATCATGTATATCAGACTTTTGAAGAGCTTTGATTGCCAAAAATCCACCAGGTCCATCTTTTTCTGTTTTGCAGGTTTAAGAAGATCCTCTAAAATTAGTACTTTCTCCATTTATGGTTATGATACTCAAATTTGGGTATGGATCTACAGTGATAAAAATAAAATTTTGTAATTCTTCATCATGGCTGTCGTGGGCCATGGCGCAAACATTCATATTAATGGCAGCCATAGATCAAATGAGAACTGAATACAAAGATAACGACCTCCCAAAATCCTAATTTTTGAAGGCTATTAATCCATGCCTTGATGATATTTTAGTCATGTTTTCTTTGGGCAAAATGTTATCATGAATACTGCGAAAATTTTGTAAAATTGAGATTAAGGTCTGTGGATTTTATAGTTTACAGAAGTCTGAAGATTGTAACTCTTTCCGAAATCATTTGTTGGTTTTAATTAGCTGGATTCATTATAAAAACTTTGGATTTCAGTGGTTGGATATGTTGGAACAGATTCTTTATTACATGACATGTTGCATATCACTTAACTGGACCAAACCAATTTTACTGGTCTTTGTCCAATGTCCGGCGACCTTGGGAATGGCTGGGATTTCCATTTATTTTGTAATCGTCATTCAACTTCCAACATGAGTTATAGCCCTTGAAAGGTTTTTTTTACCCTCTTTTGTGTATTTTGCAGAAGTTCTAGTATTTAGAGATAAATTATAAACGGGTAACATTATCAGCAGGACAAGAACTGCCAAAACCTAACTTGGCTGACATAATCATGAATTCTTTCAGGAGTTATTGCCTTAAAGTAAAATTTTTAGCCTTTTTTTCCATAAACATCGTAATGAAAAACTGTTTACAGCAAAATTAATCATCAGGAAAATATCTAAAAACAAGGCCAGGGTTCTCAGTACAGATTTTAAAGGCAAAGTCCAGTAACTTGTCTTTTTTGGCCATGGCAAGTCTCACAGTGATAAGAAGAAATTTTATAGCTATTTTATTTATTATTTCAGTCTCTGTGACAAAATAGAGCAAGGAAATGACAAAATCTAGATTATTTTAAAACTTTTGCTACAGAATGATTTGTGTTCTCAGCTGTTATATCATTTTACAATCTTGATGCATCTTTAGTTTGTACTCATCAGTTTTGAAAATGATAGTCCAGACAAATGTTCATGAGTCCAGGACTCAAAGGGAACATGGCTGTCCAAAGTCAGGTGCGTTTGTTCAATGGTTGTTTTTTGCAGAAATAAAGAGAAACTATAAAACAATAAAAATAATTTTCAGACAAGATCTACTATTGATATGGCAGAAATTTTTAGTTGACCATTTATATATTTTCTGCATTTTTGCTAGAAACAATCAGAAATTGTCTTAATGTGTTCTATCAATTTAATGCCAGTTGATAGATACATGTACATGTATCTTTAGTTTTATTGAGGAAGATTCAAGAGATGCTCAAAAAAGTGTTTGCTATAATGTTTAAAATGTCCATGAATTTTTTCAGAAAAATTCAACAAGGAAGAGTTAAAATTGCCACAAGATGCCACCAAATAAAAGCAAGAGAGTTCGGGAAGACTTGTCTGGTAAGTTGGATAATTCTTCTCCTAGTTGCAATATATTCAAAAAGGTAAACCTAGTACAAATATTAATTTTATGTAGTTATTTGTTTCACATGTCTGTTTATGAAAGCTATAGTTCTCATATTAGTTTGAAATGGATATGACACAATAATTATTGGGTCTTTTATGGCTGACTATGTGGTTGGGATTTTTGATGAAGGCAGTACGGTGACCAATAATGCTTAAATTCGCTTTATTAGGACTCTGTTGGATAGTTGTCTCATTGCATTGGCAATTGTACCACATTTCCTTATTTTATATACAATGTTGAAATTTTATTTATATTATATATTTTTAAGCCAATAAAGCCTGTATTTGAAATAATGTTTTTCTTACGAAAAACATTTCTAATCTGGGTGAGGTTTTCTCACACCATTTACATACCAGACAACTAGATGCGTTATGTCTATCTATGAAAAAACAGGCATTTTAATTTTACAATGCTCAGTGAATACGTGATAAACTGGATAGATTTGTAGATTCCTTTAATTCTTAATAACGGAAAATTTCTCAACCTCTTCAAGCTATAGGTAAATTATATTTGGTTTATACAATTATTTTAAAGAGCACTGGTTTGTCAGCTGTTGTTTATTTTTGTATGAAAGTTTTTTATTTTATGTTTTTGTAAAACGATCATTGACCTGTCTGCTTTGTAGATGAAGAAAGACCTACAAAAAAAACGTGCACAGATATAGACATTGTTGAAGATGAATCAGTGTTCACTACAGGTGATGGATCAGGTATGGTGTACATCTAAAAAATGAACCTTGTTGTTAATGGCTGTAACATTAAAAAGTATATGTCAATACTGTAGGGTATACCAGAAGAGGGAAATAAAGGGAGATAATTTGTCTGTTCCTAGCTCAATTCTCCCAATTTTATTGTCTTAGTTCATGTCAAAGGACATGTAGTTTCAGAATGCTATATCTGCAAAAGAAAAGATGAACAATTTTGAAATAACTTTCATATATATGTAAGTATGTGGAAAAAATTGGGAGGAAATATCAAATGGTCATCATTTAAACTGTCATTGATCTACAACGATATGCATTTTATATACATTATTATGATTATAATTACTTGCCACAGCTTAAACCCTTAAAACCTTTGGAGTTTACATCAAAAGCTATATATACTGAAACAATTTGTTATGTCAATTTATTTTCACATTAAATAAAAGGATCAGACTGACATATTTTTTTTCAAAGTCGATAAAGAGTAACTTCCCTTTGACCATATTTTATATTGTTTTTGAGAAATATATGTCATTTAAGTGTGGAAAAATTATCAGTTTGTACAATATATAGCATTAAAGGGTAAGACACCAGCTGCTAGTCAAATAAAAAGCTTTTAGATGAAAATAGTTAACAAAACCAACCACAAAGAAATGACTACAACCAATTTAGAGTATTAACAGTCAAAAGTTTTAAAGAACAAAACAAAAAATTTTTTTTTGTTATTGCCCTTTGATAGATGAAATATGTGCAACGCGAGGGACATTGGAACTCTGTTATTAGCCTGCTTCCTTTATGATATAGAAATGAAGCTGTTAAAATTTTTCTTCAAGTTCAATTACCTTATATCAGCAAACACAATATGAGAGAGATTATTTTTAAGGGAAAACATTATTTTTCTTCTTATTGGTTATAAATCAAATTATGCTTGATTTTAATTAGATCAAATATGGAATACAATATGTTGCTTTTTTAAATCACAACTAATGAAAAAAAATATTTACTTTTCTATGCATACACATGTATATTGCTCTTCTCTTTAAAATTGTCCAAGTGTCAAGTCATTTTATGAGCTAGAAAAACGACAATAAATGAGAATTTTTAGAATTTTATAAATTGAAATTGATAATTTTGAAGTAAGTGTGTAAAAATGACTGTCTTCATTATTTCAACATCAACTGAATTTTTATACGACCGCAAAAAAATTTTTGTGGTCGTATATTGGTATGACGTTGGCGTCGTCGTCGTCTGAAGACACATTGGTTTTCGCACTGTAACTTTAGTTTAAGTGAATGGATCTCTATGAAATTTTACCACAAGGTTCAATACCACAAAAGGAAGGTTGGGATTGATTTTGGGGGTTATGGTACCAACAGGTAAGGAATTAGGGGCCAAAAAGGGTCCAGAAATAAGCATTTTTAAACGACCGCAAAAAATTTTGCGGTCGTATATTGGTATGACGTTGGCGTCGTCGTCCGAAGACACATTGGTTTTCACACTCTAACTTTAGTTTAAGTGAATGGATCTCTATGAAATTTTACCATAAGGTTCAATACCACAAAAGGAAGGTTGGGATTGATTTTGGGGGTTATGGTACCAACAGTTAAGGAATTAGGGGCCAAAAATAAGCATTTTTGTAACTTCATGACATAACTTGTGTGTTAGTGTATGGATCTCTCTGACATTGTACCACAAAGTTTCATATCACAAAGGGAATGCTGCGATTGATTTTGGGGGTAATTGCCTCAAATTTTAGGAATTAGGGGCCAAAAAGGAGCATTTTTCTAGTTTCATGACATATCGTGTGTGTAAGTGTATCAATATTTCTGAAATTGTACTACAAGGTTCCATATCACAAAGGGAAAGCTGGAATTGAGTTTGGTGGTACAGTCGACTCCACTTAATTGCATACCGCTTAATAGCATAATTCGGTTAATTGCATAGTTTTCTCCTGCACAAAACCATTTCCCATTCATCTAATGTTAAATTGTCCGGTTATATGCATAGCTCTACAAGTGGCCTTTCGGTTTATTGCATAAAAAATTATCGCCATCTAGATATGCTTGGTTAAATCTGTCGAAATTTTTGACCGGAAACGGCAAGTTGGTGGGTATATTTTTCTTGAATGCATCATTATTTTCATTATTATTTCATATTTACTTTTGTGTTATTCAAATAAAGCTTTAAAACAGTTTCTTTCGTGTTTATATGATTGAATTTGATTTAAAAATAAACCTCGAGATCTACACAGGTAAAGTTTCCCATGTTCTATTTTAAGCCTCGAGGTCATAAAAATGTCAAACAGGTAATTGTTGTAAAAACACTGATCATTCTATCTAAAAAGGTGTAAATAATTGATTGGATTTCAAACATTGTCCATAGATTACATTTGGGATGAAATTCAAAAACAATAACGCCTGCTAATTATCGATCATTATCCAATGTGAACTCTCGTAATTGGGCTTGGGGTGATCTGCATTTATGTTAAATATTACAGGGCATTTATATATGGTTAAAGAATTTTATACATCAATCATTTAATTTTAATATATTTTGAAAAGAGCATTTACTTCTAATTATTATATTTTCTCACTTTCAATACTCATGTCCAGCAAATAACCCGTATAGGGCCCCATTACTGCTTTGCATATACGAAACTAACGAAGTTAAATAAACAGTGTTACTTCACTCTGCAAGCTGTAAATATTGTATATCAAAGGCAGTTTAGTACACATCTATTGTTAAAATGATTATAAACTGTGTAATTTTGTTAAACAGTTTATTTTAATCAAAGCGTAACAATGTACATTGTACATACGGGTCATAGAAACAAATCTATTTTTAGAACGAATTTATTTTCGAATCCCAGGTAAACTGGTAAAGGAAACGTCGGTACGCAAATAAACTAAAACAAAATGTGTTTATAATCTTTATTGAAATAATACAAAATAAAATAACATGTATGACACTAGACATATAACTTTTATTAGAATAAATCAGCATTCAATATGTTGTAATTGGATTATAGACGTTCATCTTTCTTCAGGGATTTCCTTTACTGATCTGTTCTATCGATGTTATTTGACTCCGTAATTTGGCATTTCGGATATAAGCATAGTCCGCTTTATTGCATAATTTTGTCTGACAAATAGGCTATGCAAATAACCGGAATGTACTGTAATTGCCCAAAATGTTTAGGAAAAAGGGGCCAAAAATAAGTATTTTTCTAGTTTCCAGACAATAACTTGTATTCAAGTGTATGTATCTCTCTGAAATTGTACTACAAGGTACCATACCACAAAGGGAAAGCTGGAATTGATTTTGAGGGGAATTGCCTCAAAATTTTAGGAATTAGGGGCCAGAAAGGGGCAAAAAACAAGCATTTTTCTAGTTTCAGGACAATAACTTGTGTGTAAGTGTATGAATCTTTATGAAATTGTACTACAAGGTTCCATATCACAAAGGGAAAGCTGGGTTTGAGTTTGGGGGTAATTGCCCTAATTGTTTAGGAATTTGGGGCCAAAAAGGGGGAAAAAAACAAGCATTTTTCTAGTTTCCAGACAATAACTTGTGGTCAAGTGTATGGATCTCTCTTAAATTGTACTGCAAGGTACCATACCACAAAGGGAAAGCTGGGATTGATTTTGGGGGTAATTTCCTCAAAATTTTAGGAATTAGGGGCCAAAAAGGGGCAAAAAAAACAAGCATTTTTCTAGTTTCAAGACAATAACTTGTGTTCAAGTGTAAGGATCTCTCTGAAATTGTACTGCAAGGCACCATACATTGTAACACAAAGGGAAGGCTGGGATTGAGTTTGGGGGTGATGAATCATAAGGGGGTTCAAAAAATTTGAGGGGGGATATTTGTTCTTTTTTTTCTTTAAAATTTTCCATTTTAAATTGGTTATTTCTGATTTATATATAAAAGCAAATAATAATGATATGGTTTGAATATATAGGTAAATTAAAAAATGTTTAAGTTCTTAGACCACATTCATTCTGTGTCAGAAACCTATGCTGTGTCAAATATTTAATCACAATCCAAATTCAGTGCTGTATCAAGCTTGAATGTTGTGTCCATACTTGCCCCAACAGTTCAGGGTTCGACCTCTGCGGTCGTATCAAGCTGCGCCCAGCGGAGCATTTTATTTGTTTTTGTTACACAAGTAATACAAACAAATCTTGAAAATAAAGTGGTTTTATACAAAATTCATGAAGCTACAAAAGTTACAACATTTTCTTTTTCTATAATATACTAAAATAGCATAAATGTGCATTTAAAAAAAAAAGGTCAGCAAACAATGAATAAAATTCTTTAGATACTATTGCTTAATGAAATTAGTTATATTTTCAGGTTCACTATGTAAAGGGCAACTTAAAAGTCCTGCACCAACAATTGGACATCAGAAACCTGCAGAGGTATAGCACTTGTCACTTACAAAACATAACAGATAATAATACAAGAATCTACATATATATTTGATGGTCTAAAAATAATATGTGTCTGTTTTAGTAAAATTTTTAAATATAATAATAAGGAGATGTAGTATGAATGCCAATGAGACAACTATCCACCAGAGTTCAAATGAAGTGGATTTAAGCAATTATAGGAAATGTACGGCCTTCGGCAATGAGTAAAACCCATTCTGTATAGTCAGCTATAAAAGGCCCTGACATTTAAAATGTGAAACAATTCAAAAAAGAAATATAACTCCCTAATTTGTAAAAAAAACAATTTATGAACAGACTTGATGATGAACCAATGACAACCACTGAACTACAGGCTTCTGACTTGGGAAAAGCACATAAAGAATGTGGCGGAGTTGAACCTGTTTGTCAGTGCTCAACCTTCCCCTAACCAGGGACAGTGGTATAACAGCACAACATAAGAACAAACTGTAAAAATCAGTTGCAATCATGCGAGTTATCAGAAAAGTGTCGCCAAAGGGGTAAAATATATGAGAAATGTTTAAATTCCTTCTAATTAGGATTGGCTCCCTCAATTTTAAGCCACCATTCATGTTTATAAGCAGAGACTGAGAGAGATTGACCCATTTGATACCTTGCAATGTCTTAGGAAAAACTATGAGTTGATCTGTGAAAGTGGAAACGCCTGGAACCTTGCACCATATATATTACAATAGTAACAATTAGTTCAAGCTTTTATAAGTTTTTTGGAAAATTGTGAAAGAAATGTAAATAGACACATAGAAAGTTTATGTGATTGAAATTCTACTCAAATAATGAGACCGTTGAAAGGGTTAAAGATTGATTGCTGGATGTATATACTTGGAGATTGAGTATGAAAGAAAAAACATCTGTCGATCAGAATACATTCTTTTAATTGAGAAATTTGTTATTTCTTTTAGTTGTTTAGGAAAGATTTGATTAGTGCTATGAAGCTTGCAGACTCTGAACAATTGACTCCAGAAGAGTACCTGTATATAACAGATTCATGGAAACAGGATTGGGAGAAAGGTGTTCAAGTTCCTGTAAATGAAGATCTTAAACATGAACCGCAGATCAGGTAAAATTGTAATAAAATAAAATATTTCATCTGTTGGCTTCTCTGTTTTAGTCTCTAATTGTAACTGAAGTTCTCTAGCTCTTGTGGAAGCATGCTTGGCTTGAATGTAGGAAGTCATAGGTTTGATCCCTAGTTGGTGGCAAACCAAAGACTTGAAAATTGGTATTTGCTCCTTCTACCATAAACATGCAGCATTTAGGAGTGAGAGCAAATACTGATTGGCTAGGAATTAAGTGTCTTGGTAGAGTGACTTGACTCCCTACAGACTGTTACCTTGTGAACTAGCACAATAAAATTTCTACTCAGCAAGTCAGTCTAGTAAAAAGAAGGGTTTGTGTTCATATAACATTAACATGTTCTCGTCGTGAATATGTATTTTATTTGTCACTTGATGTTAAACATCCATCCATTATCATGATCTCATTTTAACTCTGCAGATTGTGTAATTCACACACTATTAAAAGTGTTCTTTTTAGTCATTTCATAGACCGATAGAAAAAATGATATAAACCAGCTGTTATTTTCAGTATTTCAACAAAACTTGACATAAGTAAATCTTAGATTATACAGCTTTCTTGGTGCAAACAGAGAAGTCTTGTACAAGTGGGACTACTGTATAATAAACAAGTTACCACCAGATAATTTAAAAAATAAATGAAATCAATGGGGATAAAAAATGTCTTTGTTGATGCCTGTTATTAAAGTTAACCCAGACACTTGTGATATATAAAAGGTTCAATACATGCATTTTAATTCTATTGTGATGTGATGATAATAATGTTAAATATTTGTTTATAGGGAGAATGGGGAAAAATGCAAAACAACTGGAGATTTTAAAATGTAAGTACTATGGTAAGAAATAAGTTGTGAAGACGTTAATAAAAAAATTAAGGCATTGAAATTTTCTTTCCACTGTTGGACTCATCATAGCCAAAATTGGTGAGACCTTGGACATGTCTTCAACAATCCTCAGTCAGAACACTGATAATTACTTGTGCCTTGCAGAAAAGTAATAAAAGGTTTTCAGTAGAAATCCTCTTGATAAAGAGGCATTGTATGCATAATTGCATGTACCGTTTCAAGTATATCAAGCCAAGGTTATTTATGAATTGTTTTATTTGTTTTTATGCCCCTGCCATAGCATCCTGAAGTTGGTTTCTGTTCTCTAACTTTAGTTTGCCTCAACCAAATATTATGAAACTTATACACAATGCTTATTACCACAAAACACAGATCAAGATTGAATTTGGGTGGCCTCACTTTTACCATTCTAGAGTAATGCCCCTTAACAAGTTGAAAAATTGCTGAATTTTTCGTTTCCGATCTCTAAATAAAGTTTGCCTTAAACAAATGTTATTAAACTTATACACTGCTTATTACCACAAAACTCAGATCAAGATGAATTTGGGTAGCATCACTTTTACTGTTCTTGAGTTATGTCCCTTTATAACGTTGTATGCAAGCGGGGGCATCATCTATGTCCCATGTACACATTCCCCATTTATTTTGTCTTCATTTTATAAGATTTGCTTTTGATGTTGAGTTTTATACTGAATTTTTCCTTTTCCTCAGGCCTAGAAAACTATTACACAGTTGTAAAGACGAAACTTATAAACAAGGTGACCATGAACTGACAGGAATGCAACAGTTAGCAGATCAAGTTGTACGGTATGACCTTGATGACCTTGATGTGTCTTGGTTAGACAGTATGAATGCAGAAAGATTAGGATTAGGTAAGTATATAGATGTGATGGCCTTGTCATTGAATAATGTTTTTATTGTTAATTTCACCAACTGAATTCAAGCATACCAATTAAAGTCTGAAGAGGAAAAGTATAAACTTTAATCTGTAAAAATTTGAATGGTTTGTAATAAATGCCATATAGAAGAAAATTAAGTCTAGTGAGCACAATGGTAGGATAGAGGAAATATTATCTAAAAGCTGTTATTTAATGGATATCTTCACCCATCTATAGATGCCAATCAAAGTGGTAAATTTATACCAGCAAATATATGAGTTATTCATAGTTCATATTCCTGTTTATATTTTCTGGTTGTATAGGGGATATTATTTTCTTTATATTAAATTGTCTTATGTTATAATAAAGTGATTGTATACTTTGCAGGATTAATAAATATTCATGAATGGATAATGGAAAGAGTTATAGAAGGATTAGAAAACCAGGTAACTCATTGAAATTTATGTTGATCAAATGTCATTGAGCACTTAAGAACCTTGAGAACCTAAGAATCCTGAAAAATTTCAGTAGACCTGCAATTTCATGAATGTACTAGTTTCTTTTTTTTCTTTTTTTTTAATTTCATTTAGTTCATAAATCTGATATAAATGACTGACAAAATACTATCATAAAAGAAAAAACCATGCTAGAAAAGACTTATAATTGAGGTTCAGTTTGAAAAAAAAATCAATTTGTTTATTGTCCTGTCCTGTAAATGAACACTATTGTCACATAATTAGTTATTTGAGTGCTGCAGTTCTATCCACCCCTCCTGAAAAGGGGTGAATGAGTTCAAGATTAATCATATGAAAATATCTGAATTATTTAAGGGTATAGCACTTAGAATTTTAAGTGTGATTTTTGTTTGATGAACTATGAATTCAAAATTAGTTACTGTAAGACATTTGTGTAAGAAAAGAAAGAAAAAAGAACATGGCTAAACTGGTAAAACGTTCATCTTTTAGCTTCTTTATTTGCGATTTTATTCCGTGTTAGTTGTAACTTCTAAAATTGTAGGTGAACAAAAGATAGCATTGATTGCATGCTCCAAAAACCTAGAAATATAGGAAAAACCCTTCGGCTGAAATAGACACAATTAGTTCAAAATATCAGGAACTTTTTTACATTTTTGTCTACTTTATTAAAACTAATCAGATTTCCATTACAATGTAATAATGATACTTTTAGTATTATGAACAAGCAGAGAAGAAGAAAAAGACAGAAGAAGGTTTAGGAATAGAATATGATGAAGATATTGTTTGTGAAGTGTGTAGATCTGTAAGTTACATCACTATCAAGTTTTTCATGAAACACTGAACATTTACATCTAAATGCTTTCTTTTCTTGCTATAAACTAATGTTTTTGTTTTTTGGTAAGTAGATGGAATAAAGTAAAAACAGTGCTTTAAAATGCGAGAGTCTGTCTTTGAAATTGAATGAAATAACACTATTTAAGATGCCCATATAACATAACCATAAATAATTTTAACCAAACACAATCCAATCCAGCCTTGTGTGTCAGTTAAGTACAAAAGGATTTATATAACATGATATATATTTAAAAAGATGTGTAGTAATTGTTAATGAGATAGTAACCAATTCTCAAAATAACTTAAAAAAAAAGAAATGAGTTCCAATTATGAACTAAAACCAAAGACTTAAACATTGACATTTGCTGCTTCTCCAAAAAGAACCAGGCATTTAGGAGTAAAACCAAAGACTGGTTGCCTCAGAGTCCAAATAATTTGATGGTTGACGTCTACCTGCTGACTGTTATTTATGAATGGTGCTTTAAAATTTTGTACTCCACTAGACTGTCTAGTACAAAAAAGGTTTTATATTCTTATTAAATCAATGTGTTTTTGTCCTGATACTCACATATTATTTCACATCCTGAGGAAGCTCAAAAATCAGTTTTAAAAAATCTTGAAACTTATGAAATGTATCTTATATATTATGGCTATTTATATTATATATTTATTTGAAGAAAAAAATTATGATTTGTGTTGCAGCCAGAGAGTGAAGAATGTAACGAGATGGTGTTTTGTGATGGCTGTGATATTTGTGTTCACCAGGTAAGTGAGAAATCTTTTAAAAGATTAGTAGGAGAATACATTACCTGTCAGGCTTTACTCATACACTTATAAGGAAATTTAGATATTCTTCAAAAACTTTGGCCAACTTTGTTGAGTTGATGTATTCCTTATTATATACTTTGCTAATTTAGCTGTAATTGATATCTATTTCCTCTTTGTGAGTTTAGCAAGTGACGGTTTCAGACCCTGTTAAATCCCTAATAGACAACTGATTAACTAGCAGAATATAAGGGATTCTTTAATTGTTATCCAATTTATGCTTTTCCATCTGGTTGATTATTTTTTTATAATCAACGTGTGGATTGTTTGATCTCAGTTCATCTGTGGTCAAAATTCAATAATGACGTTCAATTTTCTTCCTTTCTTTTGAATTTGCTTTTGTGACGTCACAAAAAAAAGTTACCATGACTGATGATGCATATTAAGAGGACACACTTTTTTGCAGATCATTGAAAAGGAGAGATATGTTTGTCTACATATAATTTAAAAATCATTGGAGAAAAGATTTCACCACCAAATCTTGTGCACTACTATATTTCTCCACTCTCAACAGTTAATTTTTAAATATTTAAGAAGCCTCTAGTTTTAAATATGAAAATTCAACGGTCTTGTGTGGAAAATATCATATCACACTCCATGCAGATTCTATATTATTGATAAATTGATTATATTTATATTATTCAACATGTTAATATTATTTTACAGAACTATCATTTCCTGCTGACTGCATGTTTTCTAGGCCTGTTTTCTATAAATTAGTGAATCTACACATAAAATTCATGAGTTCATTGAATTTATGTATTGCTTTTCAACTTTCCTCTGTCAAAATAGTAACAATTACTTTAAATATGAAATGATGTATATTTACAGGCCTGTTATGGTATACAGAAAATTCCTGAAGGCAGCTGGTTGTGCAGACCATGTGCCCTAGGTATTAAACCCACATGTATATTGTGTCCTAGGTCTAGTGGTGCAATGAAAAGTACAAGGTATGATTAGTTTTTATACGACCGCAAAAATATTTTTGTGGTCGTATATTGGTATGACGTTGGCGTCGTCGTCGTCATCGTCCGAAGACACATTAGTTTTCGCACTCTAACTTTAGTTTAAGTGAATGTATCTCAATGAAATTTTACCATAAGTTTCAATACCACAAAAGGAAGGTGGGGATTGATTTTGGGGGTTATGGTACCCACAGTTAAGGAATTAGGGGCCAAAAATAAGCATTTTTGTAACTTCCAGACATAACTTGTGTGTAAGTGTATGGATCTCTCTGACATTGTACCACAAGGTTCCATATCACAAAGGGAATGCTGGGATTGATTTTGGGGGTAATTGCCTCCAAATTTTAGGAATTAGGGGCCAAAAAGGGGCAAAAACCAAGCATTTTTCTAGTTTCATGACAATAACTTGTGTGTTAGTGTATGGATCTCTCTGACATTTTATCACAAGGTTCCATATCACAAAGGGAATGCTGGGATTGATTTTGGGGGTAATTGCCTCCAAATTTTAGGAATAAGGGGCCAAAAAGGGGCAAAAAAACACGCATTTTTGTCGAGCCTGCGACTTTTGTCGCAGAAAGCTCGACATAGGGATAGCGATCCGGCGGCGGCGGCGGCGGCGTTAGCTAACTTCTTAAAAGCTTTATATTTTAGAAGATGGAAGACCTGGATGCTTCATACTTTGTATATGGATGCCTCATGTTACGAAGTTTCCGTCAGTCACATGTCCAATGTCCTTGACCTCATTTTCATGGTTCAGTGACTACTTGAAAAAAAAGTTCAGATTTTTTGTAATGTTAAATTCTCTAATATTATAAGTAATAGGATAACTATATTTGGTATGTGCGTACCTTGCAAGGTCCTCATGCCCGTCAGACAGTTTTCACTTGACCTCGACCTCATTTCATGGATCAGTGAACAAGGTTAAGTTTTCGTGGTCAAGTCCATATCTCAGATACTATAAGCAATAGGTCTAGTATATTCGGTGTATGGAAGGACTGTAAGGTGTACATGTCCAACTGGCAGGTGTCATCTGACCTTGACCTCATTTTCATGGTTCAGTGGTTATAGTTAAGTTTTTGTGTTTTGGTCTGTTTTTCTTATACTGTATGCAATAGGTCTACTATATTTGGTGTATGGAATGATTGTAAGGTGTACATGTCTAGCTGGCAGGTGTCATCTGACCTTGACCTCATTTTCATGGTTCAGTGGTCAAAGTTAAGTTTTTGAGTTTTGGTCTTTTTTTCTAATACTGCATGCAATAGGTCAGCTATATTTGGTGTATGGAATGATTGTAAGGTGTACATGTCTAGCTGGCAGGTGTCATCTTACCTTGACCTCATTTTCATGGTTCAGTGGTCAAAGTTAAGTTTTTGAGTTTTGGTCTTTTTTTCTAATACTATATGCAATAGTTCAATTATATTTGGTGTATGGAAATATTTTATGATCTATATGTCAGTCACGCAGGTTTTATTTGACCTTGACCTCATTTTCAAGGTTCATTGCTCAGTGTTAAGTTTTTGTGTTTTCGTCTGTTTTTCTTAAACTATAAGCAATAGGTCAACTATATTTGTTGTATGGAAGAATTGTTAGCTGTACATGCCTGCCTAGCATGGTTCATCTGACCTTGACCTCATTTTCATGGTTCATTGGTCAATGTTTAGTTTACTTGGTTAATGTTAAGTTTATGTGACAGTTGTAATAAAGCTTTATATTTAGGACTATCAACATAATATCAATGATTAGTAAAGAAGGCGAGACATTTCAGCGTGTGCACTCTTGTTCTAGTTTCATGACAATAACTTGTGTGTAAGTGTATGGATCTTTATGAAATTGTACTACAAGGTTCCATATCACAAAGGGAAAGCTGGAATTGAGTTTGGGGGTAATTGCCCAAAAAGTTTAGGAATAAGGGGCCAAAAATAAGCATTTTTCTAGTTTCCAGACAATAACATGTGTTCAAATGTATGGATCTCTCTGAAATTGTACTGCAAGGTACCATACCATAAAGGGAAGGCTGGGATTGATTTTGGGGGTAATTCCCTCAAAATTTTAGTAATTAGGGGCCATAAAAGGGCAAAAAAACAAGCATTTTTCTAGTTTCAGGACAATAACTTGTGTGTAAGTAAGTGTATGGATCTTTATGAAATTGTACTGCAAGGTTCCATATCACAAAGGGAAAGCTGGGTTTGAGTTTGGGGGTAATTGCCCTAAACGTTTAGGAATTTGGGGCCAAAAAGGGGCCAAAAAACAAGCATTTTTCTAGTTTTCAGACAGTAACTTGTGTTTAAGTGTATGGATCTCTCTGAAATAGTACTGCAAGGTACCATACCACAAAGGGAAAGCTGGGATTGAGTTTGGGGGTGATGAATCATAAGGGGGTTCAAAAATTTGGGGGGTATTTTTTTTCATTTTTTTTTCTTTAAAATTTTCCATTTTAAATTGGTTATTTCTGATTTATATATAAAAGCAAATAATAATGATGTGGTTTGAATAGGTAAATTAAAAATGTTTAAGTTCTTAGACCACTTTCATTCTGTGTGAGAAACCTATGCTGTGTCAAATATTTAAATACAATCCAAATTCAGTGCTGTATCAAGCTTGAATATTGTGTCCATACTTGCCCAAACTGTTCAGGGTTCGACCTCTGCGGTCGTATCAAGCTGCGCCCCAGCGGAGCATTTTATTCAGTATTAAATTCTTTTCCATTGAATCAATATGTAGAAAATTTTCTCCTTTTCATACGAAATGAAACAATTTCACTGAAATAGTGCCTAGGTTCCAGTCAAAATCACTGGTAAAACTTGGAAACCTTTCATAGTAGCAACTAATAGGATTTCCTTTTAATACCAAAAATAATAGAAATTGAAAGAATTCATACTGTTTATGGACACCCTACTTTGGGTCTCTCTGAGTACTTATGGTTTAAAAATTGAACAAACCTTAATAATGGTAAAGAATGACATTAAAATTTGTTTTAATCATCATTCAATTTGTATTTACAGGAGTGGAACTAAATGGGCTCATGTAAGCTGTGCACTCTGGATACCTGAAGTAAGCATAGGTGATGCTGAGAAAATGGAACCAGTTACTAAAATATCTCAAATACCTGTAAGTATACAAGATACACAATGACTTCTAAAGCAACATAACAAAATATATTTCTGTTTCATGCATTTCCCATAAGAAAAAAAGTGTAAGTAGGCCAAAAAAAATGTGTTATGCCCCACCTAGGGGCATATGTTTTTCGGTCTGTGCGTCCGTACGTTCGTTTGTCCTTCCTTCCGTCTGTCCCGTTTCAGGTTAAAGTTTTTGGTCAAGGTAGTTTTTGATGAAGTTGAAGTCAAATCAAACTTGAAACTTAGTACACATGTTCCCTATGATATGATCTTTCTAATTTGAATGCCAAATTAGAGTTTTGACCCCAATTTCACTGTCCACTGAACATAGAAAATGACAGTGCGAGTAGGGCATCCGTGTACTATGGACACATTCTTGTTTGTTTACTGATTAAATTCAGAAGAAATCTATTTAAAATATTAATGGTTGGTAATCAAACAAAGGGTTGGTTGTAAGGCAGGAAACATGAATTTTTAAATTAAAAGAAAAAGCAAGAGTGCTTTTATAAAAATATAAAAAATTATTATATAATCCAATAACATAAAGCTCTCCCAGCTTTTGTCTGTAAAATCAGAAATGAACAGAGAACACAGCAAAAATGGAAGTTTTACTTTATTTACTAATGACATTGTTTAGAGGATAAATTTATATTTGTTATGTATTGTCCATCTTTTCACTAAATTTATCCTCCAAGAGAATTTAAACTAGTCACAATAAGAAATAATTTCTTATAAACATTACAACCAAATGCCATTTTCAACTTAACTATGTTGCTAGATAAATTTGTTGGACTAAAAGTATTATTTTCCATATTTAAATAATTTTATCAAATGATTCCATATAATGCTTTTAGAATTTGTAACTCATTTTCATATGTTAATTATGTATTTACAGGCTAGTCGATGGGCATTAATTTGTTGTCTATGTAAAGAGAGGAAAGGAGCCTGTATTCAATGTTGTGTAAAAGCTTGTAAAACTGCCTTTCATGTATCATGTGCTCATCATAATAACTTAGAAATGAAAACTGTACTGACAGATGATGTTGATCTGGATGGAGGTTTGAAATTAAAGGTAATTATGAAAGTACCAAACATAAATTAAACAGACACTTCTGTTGACTGGAGGTGTAGAAAGATTAAATGAGCCAAGATGTATTACATTATAAGACATGTTTCTGTGCTTTTCCTCAAATTATGATTCATGTCAGTGCTTGTTTTAGTCTTCTCTCTCTCTTAAATGGCAAAACAGATATTGATGACACTTTAAAGTTTTAGAACGCTTAAAGGAATATAATCTCTGTCCAACTTATTAAGGGAGATAATCAAATTTGCAGGTCTGGGAGGGTTAAAATTTTCTGAGTTCACTCTAAGCTCTACTTCTTTATGTCTAAAGTTTCTCCTTTTAGTCCCATATTGCTGATAGAATGTGGGATAATTAAATGTTAAGTGCCTAGTTAAGTAATTTCTTATATTGAAAAAATATGTTTTTACAATATAGCTGCAAAAATACAAAGGAGAAGGTCCGGTAAGGGCTAATTTCGGCCTAAAATTCGAAGTACATCTGATGAAAGATTTTTGACATTTTTTAAACACTCAAGTGTCTACTTCATTCGATTCAAATGGTTATTGTAAAAGATTTGGATTGACTTGGTCATTAAAAACGCTCAAATTCAAGCTTAATTATGAAAAATCTATCAAATATACCATTTAACGTCACTTTTCAGATGGTTTTTGTTTAAAATGGAATTGGACGCATTGGTGTTCACTTTCAACATTTATATATGTTATGTATTATCATTAAATAGAACATATATTTAAATATTAAGACTGAACACAAGTGCGGCCACTTCCATTTTAGACAAAAATTGTCTTAAAATTAGCAGAAATGTTTAAATTGTGAAGATATCAGTATTTTTGCATGAAATAATGATGCTAGTACCTGATGCATGTCCATTGTACTATCAAAAACAGCCCATATTTATGTTACAAAAGTATTCTACTTTCCAATAAATAACTAAGAATTTATAATTTTACAACTTTGTAAAACAGCTATATTTTGGGGCCAAAAAGGAGTTTTACCGGTGTCATATGGTATTTTGAACCCCCTAAAAAGTGAACCCGGTGTCAAAATACCATGCGGTATATACCGCATGGTATTTTGACCCATGACACCGGGCCTACTCCTTTGAAAACAGCTAAAACCATATTTTAGAATTTTAACTTCATATAAGAAAAGAGGTTTTATATACTTGGATATCTTGATTTTCTCTTCGAAATGAGATATTGTCTTTTAATGAACACCTTATATACTTATCATATTTATACAAGTAGATAAAAATCTTTGAAGGAAAATATCATTATAAATGTTCATTTTTACAGGGTTACTGTCCCAGACATAGTAAAAATCGTGATAGGAAAGGATCAGAGTCTGACACTGATTCTCCGAGGAAAAGTCCACCTGGATCTCCTAGGAAAGGGCTAACAGATGAAGAAATAGCTAGAATGAGGGCAGAAAAGTAAGTTTGGATTAAAATAAAAATTTAAACATCTTTTTCTGAAAAGATCAAGGTAATATCATTTCCACTCTCATCCTCAGAAATTCGGATATATACTAGTTCCCAGAAGAAAATTTTTAAGGTGTATCTAACATTTCCTAATAATCAAAAATATGATTTTAAGATGAATGAAACTGTTTATCAGACTTGTCTTTTTATTTTGGTAACATTGCACTTAAGAGCTGTTTTAAACAGTATTCATAAAATGCCATACCATCATGAAAGAAGAGTTCAGATTATCTTCAAGTTGAAGTTTAAGATGTTTTTGATGTAATATAATTGGAGTTATTTCCCTTAGAATGTATAATTTTGCCTTCTATCTGAATGGAAATGATTATTAAGTTGCACATAACATCTTTATTTCTTAAAGAGTGTCTTTTGTAACATGAAGAGATTTATTTGTTTTGTTTTGTTTATAGAACGAAGAAACTGCAAGAGGAATTTTACAGTATAATTAATTTAGATGAGCTATCCAGAACATTAGAGTTAGATATAGACATTATAGAAAGTATATATGAATATTGGAAACTTAAACGAAAGGTAAGGCACAACAGTGAAAAACCATGTTATTTTAAAAAAAAATCACACAACTCAATATATCTGTCAAGTTGAAGATTTAATGAAACAGTTGGAAACTTTAACAAAGACACATTTCATTAATCATCTTAAAGTTGATTTTAAGAATTTTATTCTGTACATTATGAAATTCTGTAGTAAATATATACTGTGAAACAACTAATATAGTGATTTAAGTTCATAACTTTCAAATGACCAACAATGAAAAGACATGTACATTTAAGTTAATATGATGTGGTGTTTGTAGGATAAATTAATACAGATAAAAAGTTTTGGAAGATAAAAATTGGGTTGAATTTGGAGTTTCTTTCCATTAAAATTTTGTTTTAATGGTTAGAACTTTAAAAAAATGTAAACATACAGAAAGAACCTTAGTTCTAGTATAAGTATTAATAAAAAACTGTTCAGACTTACAAATGAAGCAATACGAAGAGCAGTATTCTTCATCCAACCAATGACAATTTTGCTTGGTTAATACTGTTTTGGATTGATAAGGGTTATGAAAAAGAAAATATAAATGCCATTATTATTATTCAGAATTAACTTTTGATTTTATTTTTATTGTTTTTTAGTCAATGTTTGGTGCACCTTTATTAACTCCTAAAACTGAGGAGGAAGATTTCTTTGAAAAACAACAAGAAGATAGTTTATTGTCTAGAATGAAGATGTTTGTACAGCTTAGACAAGATTTAGAGAGGGTAATGAATTATGCAGAGTGCAAATTAATAATAGACCAATCACCATCATCATCTAGCAAATTTTTGTCTAGATCTGTGTGAATAATATTTATCTTACATTGGTTGTGTATTCTTTACATGAAATAATGATTGCAGCACTCTTGTTTATGGTAGATGGGGTTTCATAATTAAAGTCCGTAGAATTTTTCAATTCTTTGACAAAATGGTTTTCTTTTTTTTTTTTTTTCTTTTTAAATATTAAAAAAAAGGTGTGGATCACAGAGCTTTTTTCAAGCTGTAGGTTGTGCAAAATTGTCAGATTTTGAAAGTATTATACATGAAAAAGCACTTAAGTAACTGGGGAAAAAAAACATAGAATTTTAAAATCAGATATGAGAAGATAGCACTTTGTATGGATTATCCATGGAAAAAAACATTGGTGTGACAAGAAAGAAATGTAACTGAGAATTTTAAAATCAAATATGAGAAGATAGCTCTTATAATGTGCTTTCAGAAAAGAAAAATAGGGATCATTCTTTTTGTTTTTTTGTAACCAAACAAAATAGGTAAATTTTCTATACATTCCTTTACAAAATCAAATTATCTGAGTTGTATTAGCTTATATGGGTAAATTGGAATTTTTTGAATCAAACAAAAAGTATTCTGTATTTGTTAAAAAAAATTAAATTTAACATACATAATATATTTACTGATTGTCAAATATTGAAAATCCTCATTCATTTTACAGGTTCGTAATTTGTGTTATATGGTCAGTAAACGAGAGAAAATGAAGAAACAGTACTATAAATCTAGAATTGAAGCATTCCATGGACTCAATGAGGCATTAGTTGACATGCGTCTCTCAGATAGAGAGGCACAGAAAATTGTTGAATTATACCCAGAAAACAATATATACTACAATTTTGACCCTAGTGCTTATGAAACATCCCCAGAGATAAAAGATGAAATCAAGGACTTAAATTCAGAAAATAGAGAAAGGAGTTTTACTGACTTCATCTTGCAAGATGATGACACACAAGACTATATTCCTGAACTATCATCCTTTTCTCCACGTAAGGATGCGGGTGATGCTGGTTCAGAAATGGGATTTTCTGGGAAGTTAGTTTCTGAAAACTTACGGAACACTTTGACTATTGAACCAGATAGGTTAGTTCAGACTAAAAAAGAAAGGTATAAACGTAAAAAAGAATTGAAGGAGAGAAATTTCTGTGATGTTTTTATTATGAGCCCTGATGAAGTGGACATGACAAAAAGTGGTGATTACCGTCTGCGTAGTACAACTTTTACAGGTATAAGTCTGATTAAAGCAGACACTTCTAAACATGAACAGATAAGAAGAAAAACAATAGATTCTTTAGAAACCAAAGCCTATAACCAAGAGGAAGAAAGTGATCCATCAGCTTCACCTATAAAACGTGAATTACGGACACGAAGACAAACATGCGATGCTGATATATTTCCCAATGAAAATTCTAAATCTCCACGTGAATTAAGAAGTTCTTCGATAAGTGTCAAAGATGAACCAAAAGAAATTAGTGTTATTAGAAATTTGTCTAAATCTTCAAAGGCTGGCAGTGTTACTGAACGTGTAAAAGCTGAATTGAACAATTATATACTTGGTTCAAAATTAGTGGTTGCAGATTATATAAAAGATACTGTACAAAAAGGACTATTAGAAAATAAGAGAGTTTTACGTAATAATTTCCTCAATGGAATGATTGATCGATCAAAAAAGAAAGAAAATTGTGTGAATAGTAACATCAGTTCTCCAGTTTGTTTGTCTCCTGTGAATGGGAGAAGATCTATATCACGAGTATTAAACGAAATATCTCCATCCAGAGCTAGCACTCCCAGTGATAATAGTTGGTGCAAAAATCTCCGTGGTTCTCCTCGTACACCTTCACATATAGTAAATGGTGAAAATAGTTTGTTGGATCGAAATTCTCCAGGACCGGCTACAAGAAGTTCTCGTCGCAAAACAGACAATGGGTACGATTCTGACAGTCGGGAAGCATTTAGTGCAAGAAGTAGTAGGGAAAATTCTCCTGCTAGCATAAGAAGTTTTAGGCGTGGATTGAAAATGAGATCAGACTCACCTTCATCACGTAAAAGTTTTACAGATTCTAACCATGGCTTTGTAGATGTAGAAAATATTTATACAGATTCTGATAATACTCCGGTAAAAAGAGTGACAAGAAGTCAAGTCTTCAGTGATAATGAGAGCTCAAGAGAATCGTTAGATTTTAAAGATAAATTTTCTAGTGTATTGTCATAGCAGAATTTTTTAATTGTTGTCTATGAATGGCATTAATTTGTATTAATATGAAGGCAGCTAAAAACCTTTTGTTCAAAATCAATGACACAAGCCATATTTATGTGTTTCATTTATAAACCTTTACAGAACAATTTAAATTGTCACATGCCATAAATTGCCTGACCCTTTAAAGTAAGATTAGGTTATCAGGAATTTGATTCTTAAAATTTTCCACTAAATAACATTTTTTTTTTACTTTTTTTGGTGAGACATGAGATGTGTTTTTTAGACACAACCATTTAAAGTTGTACTTCACTGTTTACTAAAACCAATGTTGGCGGCATTATATTCATAATGCAGTGGGGTCATCATCTTTGAATGGTATCATTTAAAAGAAGATGAAGCCTATAAAACATGGTAAACTGCTAAAAAAAACCTCAAACAAAAATGAAAATAATAAATAACTTGGGGTCAGTAATATTTTCTAGTCAATGGATGATATTTTTTTGACTGGTTGGGATATCGATAGTTAAAATTATGATTTAATTTTTGTCACAACTGATCACATGTTCATATTTACTACATTTTTGTACTTTCAGGAAATATAACTCAATGGCATGATTCTTTTCCGTTATACATGTATATTGAAATTTGTTTCATGGTTTCACATATATTTTTTTTGTATTATTAATAGGATTATTATAAGAATTTGTTTTAATGAAATGAAGATGTAAGTTCATTGTTATAAATGATAAAAGAACTGAAAGGGCAAGTTATGCATTTGTTTGTGTAAACTTACATTACTGCAATGTTATGTATTTATTTTTGGTTGGCTTTCAATTTGTCATCATAAGATGATTAATTAGATATAAGAAGATGTGGTATAAGTGCTAATGAGACAACTCTCCATCCAAGTCACAATTTGTAAAAGTAAACTATTATAGATCAAAGTACGGCCTTCAACACAGAGCCTTAGCTCACACTGAACAGCAAGCTATAAAGGGCCCCAAAAATTAATAGTGTAAAACCATTCAAACAGGAAAACCAATGGCCTAATCTATATAAAAACGAGAAACGAGAAACACTTATTAACCAATTGCTGGTTTACAGTATATGATAATATTTTTTTTCTTTAATGTTCTCATCACCAGGATAGTGACAGTTAATTTTATTTCTTATTATAAAGCAGTCTTGTAATCCTGCAATGTCTTGAGTTCACAATTAACGCTTGTTGGACCAGTTAAAAGAGATTTTTCCACTAACTCAATGTTGGAATAAGGTTTGGAAATTTTTGGTTATCATTGATTCTTCATTGAAATATTTTGCTGTCCTGTAATGAAAATTTTTCAACTAGATCTGATGTCGAGATCATCATCCACCACCGTTGTGATCTCTGAACAATGCAAGAAAACTATGCTTGTAATAAAAATTATTAGAATGATTTGCATGAAATTTTTAATATGACAATAAAACTTTTTTAGTTGCAAAATTATGGAAATTTGTATGGTGAAAGGTTATGCAGCATATAGTTTCATTCTTATTTTTTATTCCCCAAATTGGTTTCCAGATGACAACTTGAGTTAGCCTCCAAAAAATCGTTGAGAAGATCTAATTGAGGGACCAATTTACATCAATCCAGTTTGAATTTGATCTGTTTCAATTTTGTCTTTTCAGATTAAGTAAATTGATAAGGGGAACAATAACAAATTTTGGGTTTCTGAATGATACAATGTAACTTAAATAAGCCTCAACCAAATCATTTTAAATGTTGTTAAGGACCAGGAAGTAGAATAGATATTTGATGTACAAACTGCCCAAAAACCAAGCTATTTTTGTTATAACATAGTAAACCCAATGTCCTTCATAAATAGCATATACTAGTCCCTCCTACATTAAATAGGTTGGGCATCTGTGTCCCATGGACACATTTTTTTTTTATCTTATATTATTTTATTATAACCACTACATGTAGGTGATTTAGATATAATCTGACTTTAGAAGATACAAACAATCAACGTTGTGCTTTATGGCTGACATGTTCCCAACTTCTCTTTATTTGCATTTATCTATCATGGATTATCAACATTTCAAAATCTCTCACTGATAACATGCAAGAGTTTATGCAATTACAATTGTTCGGTAATAATGGCTTGTTAATCTGTCAAATATTGAATTTTTAAACATTTTTATTTATATTTTTTTTTAGTTGTAGTAAAGATAAAAAAGTCTTATTTTTGTTGAGACTATATATTCAAAAGTTTTACTGAAGTTTTTGGACGAAAGAAATCACTGTACTATCACACTGATTTGTTATATCTTAAATATTTATTTTTTTGTGTATTTGTTCTGTAGGACCAGTGACACTATGTATTGATATTGGTGGGGATTCATTGTTCTTCTAGTGACTGAACTTTTTTAAGTAAGCTTAAGGTTGTCAGTAAATATTTAAAAAAAATGTATTTCAATTATGGGGGTTTCAATAGTTGTGCTTTCTACATAAAAAAGTTTGTATTTCAATTTGGGGGGCTTCAATAGTTGTGCTTTCTGCATTTTTCAGACCATTTAAACTTGTATAGGGCTTATATTTTTTTGAAGTCTGATAACAGCATTAGTCAATAGTAACCAGGTGAGCAATACTTGATCCTGGGATCTTTGTATTAATATCATTAAGTTTGCAAGAGCATTTTTAAAAAATATAATGTAAATATGTCTATTTTAGATAAATATATATAGTTCTGTGTAGTATAGAGCATGTATTTAATGTATATTACTGCTGTGGAAATGTATATTTGTACATTATTTGTACATGCAAAACATCTGTGGTCGAAATTAAACAAAAAACATACAGACTATTGTGTTATAATTTATTGTCTGAAAACACAACTAGGCATGTCATAGAGTTTAAATATAGGTTAATTCCAATTTGGAGTCCCATAAGATACACAGAAAAAGGTCGGAGAAGTGGAAGGGTAGTGTCTCCTCACAGGAATTTTGAAATACAAAGTTGTTTCTAAAAATTATAAAATCATCTGTAACAAAATATATAAGAATTCAAGATAATCATTCCAGATTTTCCAGGCCCTGGGGAGAAAACTGAGTCATATTCCTTGCTTGGCTGCAGAAATCTAGATTCTGTTAGCTAAAAAATTCATCCGGTACCACTTGGCCAATAATGATTGATTGATTGATTGTTGGTTGCTTATGGCCAATAATGAAATTCTACAGTACGGCAGTAATCAATAAAAATCATCAGTAAAAACAATAATGGAAAAAATTACCTGGTGATGCAGATAAGCAATAAGGTCATTATGTTTAAAATTGAGCTTAAGATATGTGGTTACAATGCCTAGAGATACATTTTGTAAGCATGAGAGATGTAGAAATTAAGCCTAGAAATAAGCATAAGAGATGTAGAAATAAGGCCTAGAAATGAGCATAAGAGATGTTGAAATTAGGCCTAGAAATAAGCATAAGAGATGTGGAAATTAGACCTTGAAATATGTATGAGATCTCAGATGTGGAAATTAGGCCTAGAAATAAGCTTGAGAGATGTGGAAATTATACCTAGAAATATGTATGAGATCTCAGATGTTGAAATTAGGCCTAGAAATAAGCATAAGAGATGTGGAAATTATACCTAGAAATATGTATGAGATCTCAGATGTGGAAATTAGGCCTAGAAATAAGCATAAGAGACGGGAGGACACTATGCCAATAATTTGATCAAGTTGAACCTATTTCTCTTATAATTAAACATCTGGAAAAATGTTTTGGTTTTGTTATCTTCACTTCAAGCATAAGTCTGAGAATAGTATGTCAGGAACCCAGACTACTGTTAACATCAGACGTTTTCAAGCTTCAAGCTTTTTAAATTCTTCGAATTCAGAATGGATTTAAATTTGACAAAAAGAACAATTTCAGGGGAACATGCAATGCTTTAGTATTTTATTGAAGAAATCACATCTTTCCATTGCCAAATTAAATATTATAATATTTGTAAAGCTTTTCAGGATAGGCTAACCAAATTAACACGTTTTTATGCCCGCGCTGTAGCGTAGGGGGCATTAATTTTTACCCTTGTCCGTCTGAAATCAAGTACAAATTTGGGTAGCGTCACTTTAAACATTCTTGACTTATGTCCCTATATAACATCATATACAAGCGGGGGCATCATCTGTGTCCCATGAACACATTCACAATTTATTTGTATCATTAATTAATGACATGGGTCATTATTATAAGAGTATTATCTCTTCATAAGGTAAATAGAAAATAGGTCACAACCATAAGAGAATTCTTGTTAGATCACATTGACCAAAAGTTCATATGAGCTGTTATCTCTAACTAATCCTTATTGACCAATTTTAGTAGTCCGGTCTTATCTTGAAATTATAATATACAGAAAATGTACATAGGAAAAATTATCACATATACAAAATCTAAAATCCTGATAAGACCAAAATCAACTAAAAACTAATACCGGTAAGAGTTATTGTCCATAAATAACAAAGTTAGTCCAGTTTTTTGCCTATGATCTTAAAAATTATAATAGATAGCGGAGACAGTTTACAGCAATAATGATGAGCTACACAGTCTACAAACAGATAAAAAATAACCAAAACCTTAGACTATTTAAAACTGCAGTCCTTACATGAGGATTTCTTACTAATTAAATTGATAAGACAGAAACTGTGAACAGCAAAAATGATGCTCAAGGAAAATGATAACTTTGTTGACTTTATTACCCTTTAAAGACTATTTTTACTTTTTATTTGCATTTTTTAAATTATAGGTCTTCACCTACTACTACCGGTAAACCTATTTAAACCCAACTTGACATTTGGCATTTTTATAGGACCGCAAAAAATTTGCATTCGTATAAAGCTATCACGTCGTTGTCTTCCGAAGACATTTGGTTTCTGGACAATAACTTTAGTTTAAGTGTATAGATCTCTAAGAAATTTAACCAAAAGGTTCAATACCACAAAAGGAAGGTTGGGATTGTTTTTGTGGGTGATGGTCCCAACTGTTTAGGAATTACCGGTAGGGGCCAAAAAGGGGCCCAAAACAAGCATTTTTCTAGTTTCAGGACAAAAACTTGTGTATAAGTATTTTGATTGCTCTGAAATTGTACCACAAGGTTCAATACCACAAGTAGAAGGTTGGGATTCATTTTGGGGGTAATTGCCCAAACTGTTCAGGAATTAGGGACCAAAAAGGGACCAAAACAAGCATTTTTCTAGTTTTCAGACAATAACTTGTGTTTAAGTGTATGGATGTCTCTTAAATTGTACCACATTTTACAAAAAGAAAATTTCTTCAAATATTATTTTTTTTCGAAGGGGGAGGGGATCAATTTTTTTTCATCAAGATTTAGGAAATTATCAATTTTCAAAAAAAAAAATTGGGGGTCACAATTTATTTTGCTAATTCTTTGTATATAGTCTGAAAACAGATCTACTAAGTATTGCGCAACAGCACAGTGTATTGCACAACAGCAAGAAATCTTCAATTGAATATATAACAAATTTCAAGTTCTTTGACTACATTTATTCTGTCAGAAACCTATAATGTGTCAAATGTTTAATTACAATCCAAATTCAGACCTGTATCAAGCATGAATACATGTATTGTGTCCATTTTTGCCCCAACTTTTCAGGGTTGGACCTCTGCGGTCGTATCCATCTGTGCTTGGCGAAGCACTTTATTTTTGGACTTTATCTTGATAGCAGAAATGAATATTGAGAAATTCTAAACAGTAATTTGATTAACAAGCAACCTGATATTTACAATGATTTCACTGGGCCTTAAAGTTGTGATAACAGTTTTAGTGCAGAGTCCTATAAAAAAATCTCTATGCATTCACTATTCTGGTAATGGTTCATCATAATACAAGGGGTATGACCTCAAACCCCTCTTAATGTAACCATTGAAAAGGAATATAATATGAAAATTGGTAGTGATAGTGATAGTGATGTACCTCAACTCTAAAAGTGATGGCTATCTTGCAATCACCTTTTCAGTGAGGCCCCTCATGGGGGTGTCCAAGTAATCACATAATCACAAATTTTTTGCCAATATCTGATTTCAGATAATCTTTAATTATTTTTTTTAACAAGATAATCAAATTATCAAAAATACAGTCCTAGATTATCAAATAATCAAATAATCATGAAATATTTGGTCTGGTAATCAAATAATCACTATAAAAACGGCCAAGTAATCACATAATCAAAAACCCCATGAGGAGGCTCGTCCATCAATAGATCCAACAATTATTTCATAACACTTTTCTCAGAAACCACTGAACAGAATGACTTCATATTTAGTCAGCAGCTCAATAGTGATGAGTTGTAAATGGGTGCGCTTTTAGGATCTGTCAGACACCTTCTTTCTTTTTTCTGATACTCTGATTTGTAAGTGGGAGAAAGCTGATCAGGACAACATGAACATTCTTCTTTTAATTACACTATGGCCTAGTTGTCGTTTAGTTATCCACTTTCATTTTAGATTGTAATTTATTCAGTGGAAGCGGTTGCTTCAATTCATTTTTTGCAATGATGAGTTGATTCATAAGTATCTGTTTCAAAGGACTGAAGAAAAAAATGTACACAATTTTTTCAAAGTAAATAAATCCATCAGGTTTCTTCTCTAAACATGTTACAGTAATCTCAGATTAAATAAATTATAAATGAACCCCTAAAAATCAATCTGGCTGTTTTAATATAACTATAATATTAATATACAAAACAACCACCTTGTCCTTCTGTCCATGTTTTTCCATATATTTGACTACTGTAGGGTGGTTGAATTTATAAATCTTGAAAACCATTAGAAGACAAAAGTGCCCATGAGTAACTGGCACATTTTATTTTTTCAGAAACAATATGCAGTTATGTATCTGGCTTCATTTGTCACTTGTGGTCCGTTATTTTCTTTCATAAGGGAGCTACCATTTGATTTTTATGGAGGGCTAGGATGAAATTTGTAAATAAAAGGCAGGACAGGAGTTTTGAGTAAAAAAAAAGGCAGGATGAGCAACTTGGCAAATAAAAAATGCTGGATGACAATTTATGTAAAAAAAAGTCAGGATAAACTAATAAAAAAAAGGCAGGACTGAATAGAGTGAAAAATAAAAAGTCAGGACAGAGATTACAACTATAAAAAAAAAGGCAGGACAAAATTATTCATCCTAGCCCCCCAAAGAAATCAAATGGTAGCTCCCTAAGATAGTCCTTTTATAAGCAAAATTGTATATTTCTTCAAATATTTTCGTTTTAATGGCTTGTTTGCCATTTTCTTGAAAATGAGTGAATTAAATGTTCCATCAGACTCGCCGTATATTATATTTCACAATAAATGACAATCGTTACAATACACTGTGACTGGTATGAGGGGATAGGTTCATTGTAATGTCTACCTCTTTAGCAGACATGGATTCTAAATAGATATAAAACCGGTTTAACCCACCACATAAGTGGTCAGCAAACAAAGAGGACTAGAGTTTATTATATGTCATCGATAAATAATAATAAATGGCGTGATAATGTTCAAAGTTCTACAAATGCATATTAATCTTAACTTTTATGAAGGAAATTTATATATTTTACATTATGTATATCTTTTGATAAAAATAATATATGTTAAACATGAACTTAAGTCTGAAGATAATTTTACATGCCAGAAAGTATTAAAATGCAACTTTTATGAACGACAACTCTATTTAAATAGGTAAAAATATGTTCCACACACCAGGGACATAAAATACAATGTATATTTCAGGATAAGCTGGTTCTTGACTGACTACTACACTTTGTTCACTGTGAATTCGAATTACAAAGGCCCGTATT